GAACGAACAGACCAAGAATAGACTAAGAACCGACCGACCAGACTAATAACCGACCGAACAGACTAAGACAGACTAAGAACCGACCACCAGACCAAGAACCGACCATTAACAGACCAAACAGACCAAGAACCGACCACCAAACTAAGAACAGACCAAGAATCGACCACCAGACCAAGAACCGACCGACCAGACCAAGAACAGACCAATAACAAACTCTAATAAAACATTAAAAACATACATTTTTACATATATTTTTGATTTTTTGGGTATTAATAACCATTGTAATTTATAAAAGAGAAAAAAAATTGGTAAAAAAAGAAAAAACTAAGAACATACCAAGATGCTCTTGGTATGTTCTTGGTTTGTTCTTGGTGTGTTCTTAGTTTTTTCATTTTTTACTAATTTTTTTCTCTTTTATAAATTAAATGTTTCTCCAATCTTTGGGACTAGTTCAATGCTTTCCAAAAAAAAAAAAACAATTGCTCTTGGTATGTTCTTGGTTTGTTCTTGGTGTGTTCTTAGTTTTTTCATTTTTTACCAATTTTTTTCTCTTTTATAAATTAAATGTCTCTCCAATCTTCGGGACTAGTTCAATACTTTCCAAAAAAAAAACAACATTGTCTATTCTTGGTCAAGTGTTGTCAGTTCTTGGTTTTTTCATTTTTTACCAATTTTTTTTTCTCTTTTATAAATTAAATGTCTCTCCAATCTTCGGGACTAGTTCGAAGCTTTCCAAAAAAAAAAAAAACAAACATCATTGTCTATTTTTGGTCAAATGTTGTCAGTTTTCTTGGTTTGTTCTTAGTTTTTTCATTTTTTACCAATTTTTTTTCTCTTTTATAAATTAAATGTCTCTCCAATCTTCGGGACTAGTTCGAAGCTTTCCAAAAAAAAAAAACATCATTGTCTATTCTTAGTCAAGTGTTGTCGGTTCTTGATCTGTTCTTGGTTTTTTCTTTTTTTACCAATTTTTTTTCTCTTTTATAAATTACAATGGTTATTAATACCCAAAAAATCAAAAAAGATGTAAAAATGTATATTTTTAATGTTTTATTATAGTTTGTTATTAGTCTGTTCTTGGTCTGGTCGGTCAGTTCTTAGTCTATTCTTGGTCTGTTATTGGTCTGGTGGTCGGGTCTTGGTCTGTTCTTTGTCTATTCTTGGTCTGGTGGTCAGTTCTTGGTCTGTTCGGTCGGTTAATGGTCGGTTCTTGGTCTGGCGGTCGGTTCTTGGTCTGTTCGATCGGTTATTTGTCTGGTCGGTCGGTTCTTAGTCTATTCTTGGTCTGTTCGTTCAGTTAATAGTTTGTTCGGTCGGTTATTAGTCTGTTTTGGTATGTTCTTAGTTTTTCCATTTTTTACCAATTTTTTTCTCTTTTATAAATTAAATGTTTCTCCAATCTTCGAGACTGGTTCAAAGTTTTCTAAAAAAAAAAAACATCATTGTCTAAAAATTTGGGCAACATTTTCCCATAAAATATAAGGTTCTCCAAAGCTAAAATAACCTGTTGAATATAATAAGTGTAAATACATTGCAACGCCAATAATAAAAACATTGCAACGCCAATAATATTTTGTACACATTTTACAATAAGCAAAACAACATTTTATATACTACTCATGGGCCTTTTAAGCTTGTACTCACTTTAAATTCTGACCGCATGTTCCAACCGGTATGTTTCTACTTGTTCTTCAGCGAGTTCTTCTAATGGGATTTTGCAGACAAGGTATTCGATAAATTTGTATGTGAAAAGTCCGCAGTCACCTGTTCTGAGGTTGTGGACCAACCACTTATAACGAATGCTTAGCCACGCACAGTTAAGTTTATCGCCCAAATAGTTAAATAAACCTGTGTACTTCAAGAACTTGGGCATCATGACAGAGATTGGCTCCACATATTTTTGCATCTGTTGATCTCTGTACATCATAACAGCTGAGTCATACACCTTTATGTTGATTTCAGATAAATCAACATAAAGCGCAACCCAATGCTTATGCTCAATGTTAAGAGGCATAGTGAAGCCTTGCGCGCCATCCCATTTATTTCTAATTATGCACTTTTTTTCACATACATATTCATTCAGGTCGTTGTCAAAAAAATAGGTTAGTGTACTTATTAGCAAAAAATTAGGTTAGTATACTTATTAGCAAAAAAATAGGTTAGTATACTTATTAGCAAAAGAAATAGGTTAGTATACTTATTAGCAAAAAATTAGGTTAGTATACTTATTAGTAAAAAATTAGGTTAGTATAATATTAAGGTCTTATCATTATTTTTAAAGAGTTTATCTAGTAGGACAAGAAAAAATGAACTATTGGTAGTTTTTTATTTTCAGCCGTTAGGTATTACGAACTATCTATTCTTCATACTTTTTCAATTTGATATGATTTTAATCAAATATAACGATCATAAACTGGCTCTCCTAGTAGGGAGGTCCTACCGATGAAAGTTTCTTATTTTTAAGGATAATGCTAGAGAAACCAACTTATATCCTAATTTGTGTATAAACTTGATTAGCAACAACTTGTGTACCAACTTATGGCGTGCCATAATTTTATTTATATGTGCAATCTTCTATTATTAATTTATATGCCAATCTTTTAAACACGTAATGATAATATTTTGACATCTAATTAGTTGTTATACAAGTCATTACCCCTAGCATTATTCTGTTTTTAATAATTATAGTTTTAAATTAAATTGGGTCTTAATGTCTCAAATTCAATGCATATCAAAATTTTCATTCATTAAATTGCCAGAAGATAAATTTGTTAACATTTTAGAGTTTGGAATGAATAAATGTTAGTGTTTTAAACTTGGACAAAGTTCAAAAGCCATCTAAATTGGGAAGAAATTCATAAAATTTATTCCAAAACAACACCATGTATAACAAGTAACCAATAATAAAGAAAGGCAAAGAAAAAACCCAAAAAGAAGGGATATTTATGTTCTTATACTCTGTATTTCATGTTTATTCAAAATTTATATTTTTTAGATTTTGATCTCATCAAATGTTTACCTTCAAATTACATCTAATATATAAATTTATACTTTATGTCAGTCAATAATTAATTGTGACCTTAAAAATGACCAAATTATCCTTAAGAAAATGAGAAAAAACTAAATTTTCTAACAACTAAAATTTCCAATACTACAAAAAATAAAAATTAGGAACACAAAAAAACTTATTTTAATGGTATTTTGTATATTTTGAGACGAAAACCATAAGTTTAAAGTTTTTTCTTTTATTTTTTTATTTTTTACTTTTTATTTTTATTTAAGGGTATTTTAGGTATTTTGAGGTTAAAATTGAGGGTTGATTGTGGAAAGTTATTAATTTAGATATCAAATCTAATTTGAATGTGCATATTTGATGAGATCAAAAATTGAAAGTATAGGATCCTTTTGGTAATGTTTTCGGTACAAAAATGAAAATGAGATTGTTTTAAAAATCATTTTGAAACCGATTCTGAAATTACATTTGGTGGTCTTTTAAGAAATTGGTTTGAGTATGATAAAAAAGTGAAATCGTATTTGGTTACATTTATGTTTGTTTTGAGTACATGTAATTAATAATCTTAAATTAATATATTAAGTAATTAATAATTGATAATTATTTAGCAAATAAAAATTAATATATTAATAATATAATAATAATGAATAAATTATCATTAATGAGTACATTAGTAATTAAACTATATATATAATAAATTAATATGCTAAATAATTAAAAAATAGTAATTAATAATTAATTATAAGTAATTACTATATTAGAATGTACTCATATTTATTAGATTCTAAGTAATTAATTAGTGTATTAAGAAAAATAATTAGTATATACATAATTTATTAATATTCCGTTTACTACTTAAATTATTAACTTTTAGTTACATAATTAAATAATTTGTTAATTAATTACTAATGTTTATTTAATAATCTACTATTTGATATATCACATGATCAATTTTTAATAATTATTCTTTTTTATAATGATTAATTACTAATTATCAATTATTAATTATTGTTGACCAGTATATTACATATTGATAATTATAATTTATTATAAATTATTAATTGAGTAATTACTATTTATTTTTTATTTACCAACTATTTACTAATTAATAGATTATTAACATAATACATGATTGATATATTAATTATTAATTATTGTTAATATGTTATATAATTAATCTTTAACTAAATAATAAATTAATAAATTATTTATTATTTTATTATTAAAATTAAAAACTTAATAGTAATAAATTAATATTTAATTAATAATTAAGTAATTACTATATATTTATTATTAATTAATAATAAATTATTTAATATAACTTTGTTGATAAGTACTAGAAAATGAAAACGGAAAAAGGAAAACAGCTTTCAAACGTTTTCTACTTTCTTCACAAAAATCATTTTCATTGGATGCGTTTGGGGTACCAAAAAAGAGAAATAAGGAACACGAAGAGAGAGCTTTTTGAAAAGTAAAAGTAACGGAGAACTCCTAGGCGCGTTTAGAGCTCGTTTCAAAATGATTTTGTCTTTTGTATGAAAATGAAAATGAAAACGTTTTCAATCTTAGACATAAATTATTTTTGAAAATGTGTTTAGTAGTTTTATCAAGAGATTATTTTCAGTATAAAAAACCCATTTATATCTCTCTTTCTCTCTTTCTGCTCGAAAGAGGAGAAAATGAAAACAAAAAATGAAAAACGACTAAAAAGTCGTTTTTCTTTTTTCGTTCATTTTACACTAAATCAAAAACTCGTTTTCATTTTAAAAACGTTTTTATTTATTTTTTTAAAAAAATATAAAAAATAAAAACGGGATCAATTTTAAACACAGTCCATGTTTCTATTTGTTAGTTGGCTCTCTTTAAATGAGCTGATGTGTCGAAAAGTCATTGGGGGATAGAGAGGAGGGGACAGAGGATCTGAGTCGATGATGAATTGTATACCAACGGTTCAAATGAACCGATAATCGAAAAGATCCAAAGCATTTGAGTATTGGTGCATAGACTTCGTACTTCCCCTTCCCCAAATGCTTACAAGATAGACTCATAATAACGCTTCAGCTTCTTTCCCAAGTTAAACTTGTTCACCCAAACCCAATGAACGGTGGTGGCAACGCGCCGTCGCCGCCAACTCCGGCGGCCAACGGCGGAGAGTTCCTCCTCTCTCTCCTCCAAAAACCCCAAGCCGCCAAATCAGCATCTCCGCCGCCGCAGCCGCCACCGCCGCAGCCGCCACCGCCGCAATCGCAGCAGCGTCAGCAGCCGCAGCAATCTCTCGCCGTTGATCCTGCCGTTGCGGCGGGGGGCCCAAGCGTCCCTTTCCCGCCGCCGCACTTGTGGCCATCCAACGGCCAGGATCTTCTCCACCCGCTCCACTGGCCCGTCCACTCTCTCGCTAATCCTCCTCCTTTCGCTCCCAACGGCTTCCTAGGGTTCCCTCACAGCTTCTTCCCCAACCAGTTTCAGGGTAAGCAGGTCTCTGGAAACGTCGGCGAAGATCTCCGGAGGCTAGGGTTTTCGGGCGGGGTGAATTCGAATCCGAATTTGAATTTGAATCCGATTCACGGAATTGTCCAGCAGAAGAACCAGTTGGAGCACAAGCTCAAGTTCGGCTCTTTACCTAGCGAAATTGTGATCATACCCGAGGCTTTGCCGAAAGTAGATGCTTCGAATTTCAACAATTTGGTGGATCGGAGTCGGCGATTGAGCTCTAATTCAAGCTCGAATGCGGTTCGGCAAGGAAATTATGAGCATCAGAGGACTAATCCTCCGCCTGGGTTTAGGAGCAAACCAAAAAGGACGGGCTTAAACCATAGTATCGGAGGGGAAAACTCTGTTTCTGGTGATTTGATGAGAACTAGGGATGTTTTGGCTGAAGATATCGGGATTCGAGGCGATGGCTCCCGTGGATTGGAGCTCAGCGCGCAGCTTGATCGTCCGGGGCCGCCGTCCGGCAGTAATCTTCGCTCGGTTTTGGCTTCGGATGTTGAAGAATCCATGATGAAGTTGGAGAGTGACGCCGTTGAAGTTGGAGGCGGCCATGAAATCGATGACATTGGTCAACGGCTCGTCGATTCCTTATTGATTGAGGATGAATCTGATGATAAAAATGAAACAAAGAAGCATAAAAATTCCCGAGACAAGGTTAGTTTCTTTACGAAACTATAAAGATTGTGAATAGTATAGAAAACTCATTGTTAAATTTTAGCGTAGGCTGGGGGAGCAAATTTGACATAAAATGTTGATAATGTAGTTTCTATTTTAGCTATTAGCATATATGATTTATGTCGATTTGGTACTTATCTGCTAGTATAATTGTTTGTTTGAAACCGTCGTTATTGAATGTTCTTCTTATGTTTTTCTAGCATGTTTGTAAAAATGAATTTCAAGACAAAGATCTTTTTTAGTTACTATATTTAGATTTTTTATTTGAGGTTTATTAGAGTCTTTTGTCATTAGGATTCGAGGTCAGATAGCAGGGGACAGCGGCTACTCAGCCAAAGGATGAGAGTCTACAAGCGTCAGATGCGGTGTCGGAGTGACATAGACAGGCTAGATGATGCTTTTATTGCGATTGTTAAGTCGCTCATACCAGCCGAGGAAGAAAAGGCTAAGCAGCAGCAATTGCTAACATTATTGGAGAAACTAATTATCAAGGAATGGCCCAAAGCTCGGCTTTATCTTTATGGATCATGTGCCAACTCCTTTGGAGTTTCCAAAAGTGATGTTGATCTCTGCCTTGTGATGGAAGAAGCAGACGTCAACAAGGCTGAGGTTTTATTAAAATTGGCAGATATTCTGCAATCTGATAATCTCCAAAATGTGCAGGTGAGTAAGAGTAACAATGATTTTCTTGATGCCTAAAGTTAAATTAGCATCCTAAAGTTAAATTAGCATGGTACTTGGCTTTTTGGTCAAATTACTTTCTTGAACATGGGCTCTAGATGGACAGCCAACATGATTTGAGAAGCAGATGATAAGACATAATATGATATCAGCCAAATTGAAAAGAGCAGCTAGTAAAATTGCAGCACCAAAATGCGTCATTCATTGTCTCTGTCAATATTTTCCAATAGATATGTCCCGTTATTTAATTTTTTCTTTGATAAAGGTCTTAAACATATTTATTGTTTTGTTTCTTTTTTCTCCCATTTAATGGAACTTAAGTTTAAGTTTGTTTTCAGGCGTTGACACGTGCCAGGGTTCCTATAGTAAAGCTTATGGATCCATCGACTGGAATCTCCTGTGATATATGCATTAATAATGTTTTGGCTGTTGTAAACACAAGGCTTCTACGTGATTATGCACGAATAGATGTGAGGTTGCGGCAGTTGGCCTTTATTGTGAAACATTGGGCCAAGTCAAGAGGAGTCAATGAAACATACCAAGGAACCCTGTCCAGCTATGCGTAAGTTAGAGTTTCAAATTTATGTTTGGAATAAAAACTAATAAAAAAAAAAGATTCAGCTATAGAAATTTGAAGGAAGAGACACCCGCGATGCCTGTAAATTGTTCTTAGATTGAACTGGCTTTTAGATAAAATGGTGGCACAGGTGCTGTCCATTATAGCAATGGCTTTGATAACAAGTTTACATATATCATGTGCTTTTCTATGGCTTTGTTAGCTAATCTTTCCTGTTTTCTTCCAGGTATGTCTTGATGTGCATTCATTTTTTGCAACAGCGAAGACCTGCCATCCTTCCATGCTTACAGGTGGGCCTTGTTAATTGTAATGTTTCTATGAGTCCCTCCGTATCTTATAGAAAAGTACAGCTAATTATTTCTTGCTAATTATGTTAGCTCTGTGAAGTCTAAATTGAGATGCAATTGCACCTTCCCTTAGTGATCGTAGCGTAATTGATATATGTTTTGATGGTACATACTCCATACCATTCCTATTTATTAATTTGATGTGAAAAAAAAAAATTAAAATGCCTTTGCTCATACATCAATACATTAATACAGAAGGACTTCCACAATAATATGCTATATTCGAATATCTACTCTCTAAAAATGGTCTTCCTGTGATTCATCCCTTGCTCTTGTTTGGCACACGTTTGTTTTCTTCTGTTGCGTGTGTTAGGATTTTCTTTCCATTTTAAATTCTAATTTTAGTGGACGTTTGGTTCATGTATTCAGAATCATGATTCAGAACTATTCTCGTTTTACGTGTATTTTTTATAAGAGAAAAATACTGTAGAGAATCATGATTCATGATTCAAAATCATGGACGACTACAGAAAGCAGAACTATTCTCGTTTTACGTGTATTTTTTATAAGAGAAAAACACTGTAGAGAATCATGATTCATGATTCAAAATCATGGACGACTACAGAAAACAAACGTCATCTAAATTTTTAATATATTCTCTTACAGGGAATGGAGGCAACATATTCGGTCACGGTAGACAACATTGGATGTGCTTACTTTGATCAAGTTGAAAAGCTTAGTGATTTTAGATCACATAACAAGGAAACTGTTGCTCAACTTGTGTGGGGCTTTTTCAATTATTGGGCATACTGCCACGATTATACAGATTCTGTTATATCTGTACGTACAGGAAGTATAATCAGGTAAGATATAGAATCTTTTATCTTTTATAACAATAAATTGTTTCCTCCAATTTTGTTAGTTACTGCTGTTGTTACCCGCGTTGTCTTTTGCAGCTTGTAATAGGCTGACTTTTTATAATTCAATTTCGTCCTTTTTTTGCAACTAACCAAGCGCTTGTTACCATGATCAGTAAACGGGAAAAAGACTGGACAAGGAGGATTGGAAATGATCGCCATTTAATATGCATAGAGGATCCTTTCGAAATATCTCATGATCTGGGTCGAGTTGTCGACAAGCACAGCATAAGGGTTCTGAGGGAGGAGTTTGAACGTGCTGCTGAGATCATGCAGTATGATCCAAATCCTTGCGTGAAGCTCTTTGAGCCATATATTCCTAGTTGATTAGTTTGGTCGAACATAACTTAAGATGTATTATAGTAAGTTCTGCCTCAATTTTCTCATTTTCCATGTTTGATGTTTATAGCATGTATTTTGTGCTCTAGGCCTTTGAACGTTCCCTCCCCGTGTAAAGCAACTCCTGTCTGCAAACTTATTGTGTGGTTTTTGATTCCAATATTGCTAATGTTAAAAGGAGAAAAGAAAAAAGTACAAAAAAAAACAGAGAAAAAAAAAGGAAGTAAAAGTTTAATGAACCATCATTGCTTTTTTTTTTCCCCCTCTCTTATTTCTCATTTTCCTCAACCTTTATTGCCTCCTATTTATGTTTCTCAGTATCTTCCCAATGATTGAATTTCAGTTGGATTGCTTTCCTTTCGCAAGTATGCTGGTTTATATTTCAAGAGTAATCGTCTCTTATCCACAGGATAAAATGATCGTTTTTTCGTTATTTTGTCTACGAAGTTTGGAAAACTGGAAAATGAATTGGTAAAATCTTTTGGTCACGGTTGGATTTGAGTGACAAGTATTTCTAGCTATAAATAAAGAACAAAATATACGTGGAATTGTCCAAAACTTTGTCTCGAATCTTTATATCAAATTAGCTCTGTTTGAGGACTTTAGTTTTGGAAGGAGATAAGCAAAGAACTCTATGCACATTGCGTGTTTATATTTTTATAAAACTTGTTTTGCACTAAAAATGGCTCAAGTCCTTGAGGTTTTCATTTTGTTTTTAGTTTTTTTAAATTATATTAGGAATATTTAATTTTTGTCAATCTTTGTTAGGATTTAGTTTAGTTATTTTCAATTTATTCCTTATTTTTTTAGTTAGTAATTTAGGTTTGTTTATTTTTCGTAGGCATGAACGGAAAAGCAACTCAAAATTGAGGAAATGAATTGAAAACTAGTGGCATGTTTAGTTCATGCTGGAAACCTGGCTCCGTGGCGCTCAACGCTGCTGCAGAATACTTGGACTAGGGAACGCAAGGCCATGGCGTTGGAAACTTTTAGTACACGCGTTTAAATAAGTGATTTTGATTTTGAATTCAAATTTTAGAAGAGAATTATTAACGGGAGCTTTTTTATTTAAATTTTGTGTGAGAGAAAAGTATCGTAGCAGAATCAAAATTATAGTTTCAAATGTGTGAAACAAACGGGCCTTAGGACCGTGGCACCAGAGAGCAGCATGATAGTATACAGGCTCGGGAGTCCAGTGCTGGGGCGCTAGAAAGTTAAGACAGCGGCATTGGTGCGATTTCAACAACACAAATTTTTAAAAACACGCAAATTTTAACCCACTGTTAAACACGGAATATAAGATTTTACAAAGGTTATTGCGAGGTGTTTTGTAGGATTTTTAGAGAACCGTTTGCACAAGTTTTGTAATTGATGATGAATATTATTTATATGATGTTTGATCTTTCAAATATGAACTAGATTTTCCTTTCTATGGTTAGAAGTGTGGTCAAAACGATTAATATCTAAATCTAATATTCTTTTAAATTGAAAAATAGAAGGAGACTTTAGATAGAAGAACAGAATTAAGAAGAAAAACTAGAACTAAAATAGAGAAGAATAATCAAAATGTAAATAGAAATCTAGGGAGAACAACAACTTAAGAGAGAGAAAACCAATCATTTCAATATCATTAATTATCAAAAACCTCTGTAAAAATACAATCACTAATGTATTTATAGGCATTTAAAAGATAAACTACTAATTCAAAAATAATCCTACTAGATAACATAATCCTAAAATTAAAATTAAAATAAAGATAAAATATATCTTAAAAGATAATTAAATAATTTAAATTCAAAATCCTAATCTAATTTGTCATCAATAACCCTAGTCTTTATCCATTTAAAATGACGTTTTGCAGTTACTTCTAAAAAAATATTAGGATTAATTACAAAATTCCCCCTCAATTGTAGCACTTGTAATAATGTTCCCCTGATTTTCAAGGGTTAAAATTTGTTTTCAAAATCTATGGAATATTAATGAAAAACGCTTTTTATTAACACTTTTAATAGAAACTGATATGTAATTAACATGTGCTACATATTATAGAAGTATTTAACAACTCTATTATGAGTGAAGCTGATTTGACTTTAAAAGTCTAATTCTAATTGTTAATGAAAATAAACTAAAAGACCTTCAAAATTTGTTAAAAAAAATAGTAACACTCACTCTTTTCACTTCTGTCTGATTACATGAGAGGTTGTGTCACATATATAGTTTTTGTTAAAAAAACATACAAAACTATATTCTGTTTCATTAATATTTTAAATTCGGGAGAAAGAAGGAAGACAATTTTAAGGGAATTCTTTAAATTTTACCTAAATTCTAACTAAAATGACTAAAAAATTATTTTAACTAGTAATTTTTTAGTGAATCACCAGTCATACTCCAAATTTTAACTAAATATAAATTATTTTAATATTTAATAAATTTAAAATAAATTGTTTTATTAAATTTATAAAAGAATCTTCATATTAACTAGAGTTAAAAGAATAAAAGAATATAAAAAATAAAAATAGTTAACCTCTCTATGCTACTTATATTTAATTAGTGTGGAAAGTATATTTTTAAAATAATTAATTATTTAATTAATGATTGGAGTGAAAAAAATTAAATCATTAATTATTTTAAGTACAAATATGAAATGACTAATATGGTTGCAGTTGTTTTGAGAATTAAGGTCCCGTTCGTTTCACCGATTTGAGTTTATAATTTGAGTTTTGTTACAGTAAAAAGCTCTCAGAAACAATCACATCTAACTTTTTTATTACAGTAAAAAGCTCTCACATAAGTCACATCTTAACTCGAATTAAAAACTCGAATAAATAAACTAAATGGACTCTAAGTGCACATTTTGTTACCTGAGAGCTATAGTTGAGGGAAAATTTTGTAATTATAATCCAAAAGTTCAGTTTTGACCTCCAATTCATTCCACCTCACTTATTTGTAGCTACTTATCCCTTTACAACAATGGTAGAAGCCCAAACTCCGGGTCTGTTGGATAAATAGATTAAGTAAAAAGTGTTTTTAAGTAAATAAACCATAAAAAAATAAATTGGGTAAATAGGCCAACTTCCACATCAGCTATTCCACGTCATCAATTATATTTTTAGGAGTTTCTTTCTCCTCATCCTCTTTCATTTCGCGTCATTTTTTTCCCAGCCGCCTTCCATTTCTTCTCTCCTCTTCTCAAGTCATCGTTGCACAACCTCATTAACATTATTATCTTGCTCATTCAACGTTTTTTTCTCGTCCAAAATGAAGTTTGAAGAAGAGTTACTAAGTAAATCTTTCTTTTTCTATATCTCTCATGGTGTTTTTCATTATTGTTCATGTGTTTTTAAGATGAGAATGTAGTTAAAAATGTTAAAAATCCATTAAAATATTAATTTTACATCGTAAAAGACTAGTTTACATTGTCTGATATGATGAAGATCTGCTGAGTTTAGAAAAAAAAGGTTGTTCTTGGTCTGTTCTTGGTTTGTTCTTGGTCTGTTCTTATAACATGGTATGTTCTTGGTCTGTTCTTATACATGGTCGGTTCGTGGTCTGTTCTTCGTCTGTTCTTATTGCATGGTCGGTTTGTGGTCTGTTCTTGGTTTATTCTTATTACACGATCGGTTCTTGGTTTGTTCTTATTGCACGGTCGGTTCTTAGTCTGTTCTTGGTCTGGTCATTCTGTTAGTGGTCTGGTCCTGCTTTATATCATGTTTAATTATACATTTTTATAAATTGATGGTTTTTTTTGCCTTTTTTTTTATTTTGTAGGAACACTTTTTTATGGTATGTTCTTGATCTTTTCTTAGTATGTTCTCATTATATGTTCTGTTCTTAGTCTGTTCTCATTATATGGTATGTTCTTGGTCTGTTCTCATTATATGGTATGTCCTTGGTCTGTTCTCATTATATGGTATGTTCTTGGTCTATTCGTGGTATATTTGGTTTAGTTTAATGACATATTATAATCTTGATTAAATTTTTGCAGTTTTAAAATCTAAATAATGCCTCAGTGGAGGAGATTTTTTGACATTGGAGGAAAATGGGAGGAGAATGAAAGTTGTTGGGTGTGGCATACAGACTGTAATTTGATTGGCGTATATATGGATGAGAAGGATACTCTCGAAACCTTCCTTGATAAGATTTGTAGAAAATGTGGAATTGATGGACAAAAATATTCCTTGCAATTATCGTGGGTACCGAATTTGAAACAGAAATCATTGCCCGTTGTAATAAAAGACAATGATGATTTGTTATTTTTCAAGGATATAGCCTATGAGGTACCGCTACACGTGATAGTAGATAAGAAGTTTATGAATCCAGAAGAACATATTGACGGAGTCAAAATTAGGAAAAATCCTTTGCATGACGATTTTTTTATCGTGATTTTATGGGTATTGAAGCTACAGATGAGTTTTCGACTCGTAATGATATTCCACCACAGTCGAAACCACAACCAGAGTCACAGCCACAGCTAGAGCCACAACCACTTGCCATTTTAAATGAAGTAGAAGTTGCTGGTCCTTTAATTTGTATCGACCAGACTGAGTTTAGATCATCTCATGGATCTACCTTCAGTGAAAGATCTAGTTTAGAAGTTGGTTAGTACTTTACAAGTAAGAATGATTTGAAGGAAAAGCTGCATTTAATAGCTTTAAAAGGGAAGTTTGAGTTTCGAACAACAAAATCAAATAAAGACGTGCTTGTAGTAGAGTGTGTGGATTCGAAGTGTGTGTGGCGTATCCGGGCCTACAAACTGAGACTGTCGAACATGTTTGTAATCCACAAGTATAATGGTGTTCACTCTTGCTCATTAGAAAAGCGTTCGGTGAAGCACATGTAAGCAATATACTCTGTTATTGGGAGTTACATGAAAAACTAATTTATAGGCGTCAAACAGGGTTCGGTTCCCAAATCAATTCAGAAATATGCCCGTGACAAATTCGGGACGGACTTCAATTATTGCAAAGGATGGAAGGGTCGTGAGCATGCACTTAAACTCGTAAAAGGTACGGCCGAAGAAAGCTTCACAAAGCTCCCATCATACTTTCATATGGTGTCTCTTACTAATCACGACAGTATCACCAATATTCATTTTGATGACCATAACCGTTTTGTCTATCTTTTCCTAGCATATGGACATTGTATACGAGGTTTTGGATGCATGATGAAAGTTATCAGTGTTGATGGAACGTGGTTGAAGAGAAAATTCAGAGGTACGTTGTTAGTTGCCACTGCA